GGTACTGTGTGGGGTTTTCACACACAATCCGAAACACTTCCATCAAACTGGTTAACATAGCCTTCATGTCATTTTCTTAGTTATTATTTTAAAATGTTCAATTCTACTCTTAGATTCACTTGTACCCTTGTAAGATAAACCTCAGAAGTGATCCCTTCAATCCTCCTCCCTCCACTCATTCCTCCCTCCCCTCTCCCTTCCCCCTCCTCATATTCTAGAAAATGTGTTTGATTTTTCTCCTCCTTTATAAATCTGTGAAGATGCAGAGTAGGTGGAAAGCTTAATTTAAATAGGTTTTGATTTTGTAAGGTGAGTAGTGCAAAGGAAGAGAAGGCCAAAAGAACTGAGGTTATACAGTATTATTTTCAAGTTGGTGATAATTATGGTGAGTCATGACATCTAAGCTACATAAGTGAGGACATGAAGGGATAAAGGATAGAAAATAGTTGGTAAGATCAATAACTGCCCATGAAGCTGAAAAATTGCTGGAGGCAGAGTTCTAGTGTAAGTGAGCTAGAGAGGTAGAAGGTGGTGGTCAGAAAATGGGATGCTTAAAAGTGAGACTGATAATGACCAAGAATGGGATATGACCACAGAGTAGGTGGCAGAAGTAATGTTCAACACACGGTGACTGAGTGGAGTAGAGAAACTCTAGGAAATGAGAGGCCGAGGTTGTGGATCATCTATATACATATTTAAATCACCAAGAATTATGACAGGAGTCATAAAGACAATGGAATAGATCCTACAATCTTAATGAAATGAAGCAAGTGACATAGGAGTGTGTAGGTATGTACATGACTACAAGGGTATGTACTGGGTGGCATAATCTGATGTATGAGTGTTAAAGCTATGGGTAGTTAAGGTGAAAAAAGGAACACTACTAAGAAAAAGCCTCTGAGCCCAGTAGTATAAATGGTGCGGGAGAGAATACAGCTACTACTTGAGAGAACTGCAGTGGAAGCGGTAGCCTTAGGGAGGTGATCAAGTTTCAGTTAGACCAGGAAGGCATAATGTTCAGAAGAAAATAGACAAATGAGTTGATCCATTAATCTATATCTACTAAAAGGCACTGAATTAGGCATTGGGAAAAAAATAGTTAATAAAAACATAGATAGTCTTAGCCATTTCAAAACTGAAATTTGAGTAGGAAGTCTCATATAAAAGTGATTAAAGAATATAACTAAATTTCTATAATAAGACAACATGTTATAAAACAAGTTTTATTAAGAAATCAGAATGCATTATATTGGATTAAAATGGAGTTGTATATTTTGAACAGAATACACAATTATTTTAATATAGCTAATCATTGTGATATTAATGCTATGCTAAACATTAGTGTGAATTAAGAATATCTGGGCAAAAGTCACTTTTTAATGGTTAAAAAAAGAAGGGGAAATGGTAAGTATATGCTTTTCCTTGCAGAGCAACAGAGACACAGGCAGAGTTACCTGAGACAAAGCAGCATCCCGTTCTTGGATCACTGCACTCATTTCTTCTGCAGTTATTCTCTTTTTACATTCCTTGGTCTTGTAGATTCTATCCACAATTATAGCTCCATTCTTCTGAATAGCTATCCCCGTGTCTGCATTGTTTATTCTGTTCAGTAATTCCTGTAATGTCTACCAACACCATTATATGTTAGTCAGACATGAAGTTTTAATATATTTTATTTAATATAGGGTTTTAATTAATAGGCACATGTGAATTGTAAATTGACTGAGTGAAGTTATTGAATTTTCATATTGCAGCAAAGATGTACATTATTAGTGTGTCAATTCTTCTTTTTCCCACATCTTAGTTCTTGAAACCCCCTCAATTGAACTTAAGCCTCTAAGATATAAGACTGACATCAAGAAATCTCCTCAGAGAATGGCTTACCATGTCATTTTCTTCAGGGTTAATATTTTCTAGCCTAGAAAAAAGGGACACAGAAAGCCTGATCAGTAGCATTTCCTTAGTGCAGCAAAATGAGTTCGCTTTTTAAATCTTTAGAACCTCAAGTAATTTCATTCGACTAGTCTTTAGAGTCAACCATGACACTGAACATATTAAAGTGCCACCTGCTCGACTCCATCTTTCAATAATGCTCCGTATCTTCTCTACTGACTTCAGACTGTTAAGTTATTAATGTTTACTGCTATATATGACTACAAGGATCAATTGTTCATATGTGCTTAGATGAAGAAAGTTCCCCAGTGATGGAAGCACTCATTCTCATCATTATATTTATTCCTGGACTTTCAATTCTTATAAGAAACTGTGTTTCCTCTTTTTTTTTTGGAAACCATTGTAAGTAAAACAAGGCAGGCATTTTTATTACAAAGTTTAACTATGTCCCCTCAAAAGCAATGACAAATAATTACACTAAACTTGAACTAAAAATCCCCTGCTGCTACCTATTTGTGAAATCAAATATATAGAAATGCTGACCAAACTTGGACCACATTTTTAGGTGATTAATGCTATTTTCTTTTTCATAATATATATAAAATTATTTAATTTAAAGACAAAAAGTAAATTTGTTCTCCTCATGCATGCATCATGTCTTATAATAGCCACAATAACCACTGAAATGTGTGTTGATGTTGAGGAATTTAACAAATGCAGTAAAAGAAAGACCTTCTAAAAGACATATCCTGGAAAATATCTGTAATATACTTTTGGCAACTATTTATACTTTATCTTAACCAAAAGGCCAAGAAACAATTAAGCAACTATGTAAATTGGATAAATTAAAAGAAACTGTGTAATTTGTATTAGTGAAAAGATATACATTCTAGAAATAATCTCAACTATTTTTAAATTGCATTTTAAAAGTTTAGATATATTCTGGCAGTGCCTGTGGCTCAGTGAGTAGAGTGCCAGCCCCATATACCGAGGGTGGCAGGTTCAAACCCAGCCCCAGCCAAACTGCAACAACAAAATAGCCAGGCATTGTGGTGGGCACCTGCAGTCCCAGCTATTTGGGAGGCTAAGGCAAGAAAATCACCTAAGCCCAAGAGTTGGAGGTTGCTGTGAGCTGTGATGCCACAGCACTCTACCAAGGGCAACAAAGTGAGACTCTGTCTCTTAAAAAAAAAAAAAGATACCCAATTCCTATTTATCAAGTTGCCCCCCATATCTGTGCTCCCCACAAAAAAAGGATACTAGAAAAAGATAATAGAAGACACTCAATAAATAACACAAACTTTTTCAACTTCACAATGGATAAAACTGCCACATTCATGGAGAAGTAGTGATTTTAGAACATAGTATTTTTTTTTTTTTTTGAGACAGAGCCTCAAGCTGTCCCCTTGGGTAGAGTTCTGTGGCATCACAGCTCACAGCAACCTCCAACTCCTAGGCTCAAGCCAGTCTCCTGCCTCCGCTTCCCAAGTAGCTGGGACCACAGGCGCTCACCACAATGCCCGGCTATTTTTTGGTTGCAGCCATCATTGTTGTTTGGCAGGCCTGGGCTGGATTCGAACCCGCCACCTTAGGTGTATGTGGCTGGCGCCTTAGCTACTTGTGCCACAGGCGCCAGGCCAGAACATAGTATTTTAACAGCAAAAATATATATATATGTATCAGAGAGCTACCTCTAAACACATATAGTCTAAGTTAACAGGAAAGCACAGTGATGTTGTATTACATATAATTTAGTGTATCTCAAACAACATCTGGCTAGCTTCAAATTTCAGGAAAGGCAACTATTCTCATCTTTTATCTTTTTTTCTCCAAAATAAATCCAAAATTTTCAAAGATATTGCTTAATAAAATCTTTTTCTACAAGAAGTGTGTACTTACTCAACTGAAAAATATAGCAGAAAAGTATAAGATAATAAATATCCCACATGTATTTTTCATAGTGAAAGTATTTGAAAAACACTAGTAACATTTAAGCATCAGTTATTTGTACACTAAATATGATTTTTAAGGTGTATGGTGAGAAATAGTTATCTTACATTGTTTATCTTTCTACTGTCTTCTATTATCACTTTTTAGATGAAATCAATATAAGAGCTAATTATGGCAGCTTCTCAATAAAATCCAATCTCAATGCTGGTAAACTTCACAATAACTTTATCATTAAACTTTATAATTTAAAATGTGAACAGATGATACTACAACATTAGATTGGTAAATGAGAACCTTTGCAACAACAAAAGTAGATTTTAACCAAGGTTAAAATTTTCCATTTTTAGTTTTAAAGAATTATATATGACTATGAAGAAAATAACAGTGTGAGTAGGTTACCTAATTTGTATATTCCAAATAATCAACACAACAAAAGGTATATGAAATTTCTATGTAATAATTATAACTTGTCTTTAGGCACTGCAATGCAAAGAATTACTTTAAGGAAGATATTTCAAAAGGAAAGATTTAAGATAATTGTATTTAGTCTAATATTAAAATTCTCCGCAATGGCTTGGTGCCCATAGCTCAGTGATTATGATGCTGGCCACATGCACTGATGGGTTTGAACTTGGTCAGGGCCTGCTAAACAACAATGACAACAACAACAACAAAATAGTCAGGCATTATGGCAGGCACCTGTAGTCCCAGCTACTTGGGACACTGAGGCAAGAGAATCGCTTAAGCCTAAGAGTTTGAGGTTACTGTGAGCTGTGACGCTATGGCACTCTACTGAGGGCAACATAGTGAGCCTCTGTCTCAAAAATAAATAAATAAATAAAATTCTCTGCTAATAATTTAAGTATTTTTTTAAAATTCAAAACCAAAGGCTCTACTAGATCCCTGGCACCTGAATTTAGCATTCAATCTTTAAATAGTTTGTGTGATTAAACCTAAAAGTACACAATATATAGTGATTTGTCATTTTACGGATAAATGAATTTGAATTATGTTTTTGGTAAATCTAGTGTGCTGGATGCACAAAGACTGTGAGTGAGCCAAGTCAACCACTTAGCATTTGGATCTCAACGTTGCTCTATTATTATTCTTTACAATTGATGTAAGTATAATAAAAGGTGGCCACAACAAGGAAAAAGCAATTTTGATCAAAGTGAAAAAACTGTTAATTTGAGATTTGAAAATATGCATAATGTATATAATTTTTAATACAAACATGAAGCTTAAATGAGAAAAGGCTGATTTTTATTTTTCTCTATTTGTGTATCTTTAAAAGTCTCAGGAGGTATTTGTCACATATTAAAGATATGTATATAATGTAATTATACTATAATTTAGTCTCAACTAGATTATATAGAGCAGATCTGATCAGCAAACCTTTTCCATAAAGGACCAGATAATGAATATTCTAGGCTTTGCCGTATGTTCTCTGTCACAGTTACTGAACTGTTTTTGTAGGGCAAAAGTATCCATAGCCAGTATGTAAATGAATGAGTATAGTTGTATTCTGATAAAACTTTCTTCATAGAACAGGTGGAAGGCTGGAATTCACCACAGGTTCTTACTTTGCCAACCTCTGATACAGAGTATTGGAAAATGAGACCAAACCTTCCATGTTAATATACTGCAAGTGCCAATTCGGTAAATTTGACTTTTTATGAGTTGGATCATTCAATATCTAGTTAAAGAATCAACCAAAGGCTGGCATTCTTCCTTTATTCCTTCAGGATGCCACACCATTCTCTCCCTCCTATTCTCCACAACCCATCTTCTCTTCTTTTACTCTCTGCTCCCTTCTCCCTCTTTCTCATCTCTTCTTCCCACTCTCTTTCCTATCGCTAATATAAAATAAACTTACATTTTTATATCCTAAAAAAATCAACAAAAGTAATAATGAAAAAATTAAATTCAGGCCTATAGTAAGAACATCACTTACTGCATCACTTAAGACAACACAAAAATTAGACAACCAACCATTTCAAAAAGAGATTATTTGAAACAGCTGTAGGAGGCTTTCAATTTTCTATACAAAATGACTTTGAGAAAGGTTCTAATGCTTACTAGTAGCATGTCTAATGCTTTACGGGTTCAAATAAAGACTTAAAACAACAGCTGGGCCTATATGAAATAAAACTGGCAAAGTATAAATTGTATCATATTTATATGAGACTTATAATTAGACAAAAGAATCTCAACCTTTTGTAAACTTTATGCCTAAAACAGTCTAACCTCACATAGTATGATAATTAGTAAGAATTTTGCTGAAGTAAATGTCTATAGGCTCAAGTTTCAATTGATTTCCTATACCATGCAAATTCTGACTGACAACCTTACACTCTAAGTAAAAATACCCCTGCATGAAATGTCGTATTTCTTGATTTATCCCTAAATTGGTCAATAATGCCTTATGCCTTCCTAAAACTACAGTCATCACCTTGTTCAATGGCACGAAACATTCACCTCAAGTGATAACAAAACAAAACAGTAGTGACCAGCTAATCAGAAAATTCTGACTTATTTGCTTTTATTCTCTCATTTTTTATGTAGCACTACATTTAACCTATTAAAAATAACAGTGATAACAGAGAAACTGAAGAGAGATTTCATGATCTCAAAAGTTATAATAGACAAAGGCAAATATTTATATGTTAAAATGCGTATATAAGCCATTTTAACTTGAATTCTTTTTACTTTTTTTCTTATTTTGAATAAAAGCAAAAAAAGAGATAAAAAACATTAAAGATTCAAGAGGTAGGCTTGGCACCTATAGCACAGTGGTTGCGACACCAGCCACATGCACCAAGGCTGGAGGGTTCGAACTCAGCCCAGGCCAGATAAGCAACAATGACAAACACAACCAAAAAAACCCAGCCAGGTGTTGTGGCAGGTGCCTATAGTCCCAGCTGCTTGGGAGGCTGAGGCAGAAGAATCGTTTGAGCCCAGAAGTTTGAGGTTGCTGTGAGCTGTGATGCCACAGCACTCTACCAAGGGTGATATAGTGAGACTCAGTCTCAAGAAAAAAAAAAATTCAAGGTGGAAAGAAAAGCAGAGAGGCTC